CTGCCGCCATCAGCATCTCCTCATAGAGATGCATTGAATTAATGCATCTCTATGGGGATCATTCAGTCCCTCAATGAGGAGCGTGGAGATGCTAATCACCAGTGCTGCACACTGTGTAGCATTGAGAAAGGTTTTAAGGCTGCAGGTACATGCTATAGACACCATAACCACTATATTAAACTGTAGTAGTTCTGGTGACTATAGTGTCCCTTTACATTTTTTACTTATCTAATTGGGTTGTGTTTTATATCTGTGTCTATGGTTATTAAATCTAGAGGAAGACATTAAGAAATAAATTCTATAGCTGTGGAGTCACCTTTAATAGAAGAATCCCAAACTCTCATACTAATGGGAGAATCAGACTCAGTTTGAGTCTTTAGAAAGTGATGTGAAAAAATGATTACTCATTATAAAACATACAGGTGCTCATCCATTAACATAATATCAATACAGATATGCAATTGTTAAGTATTGGGTTGTTGAATTTGTGAGGTGTTGATCACTCACTTTCATTTCCGGGTGTAAAACCAAAAACTAACAGTACATCAAATGGGTTATATACATTTACATTCTACATATTTAAAGTCAATTCCCATGAAGCAATTTTTTTCTGATTAGGTTCCAGAAAGCAATGATGGAGCTCTCCAGCTGCAGTTTAAAGGATAAAATGTTATGGGTAATATAGTATTAAAGGGACATTATAGTCACCAACACAAGTTTAGCTTAATGAAGCAGTTTTTATGTATAGATTATGCCTATGGCGTTTCAAGACTCACTTCTCTGCCATTCTGTTGTCTATGCAGCCCTAGCAACACCTCCCCTGGCTTTGTCTGACACAGCCTGCATGAAAAAACAAAATGGCTTCATTTTTGATCAGATGTAACTTTCTTTAAAAGTTTTCATCTTCTGCTTTGTAAATTGAACTTTAATTACATGCAAGAGGTTTCTTCGGGGTCTAGCAAGCTCTTATCTAGAGCCCGAGATAAGACATACTAAATTAAACAGAATTTGCAATAAAGGAAGCATGAAACATTAGATAAATTTTTACAGGAAGTGTTTAGGAAAGCTGTGTAAGTCATATGCAGGGAGGTGTGCCTACGGCTGCATAAACAAAGTTATTTAATGCCTAAATTGCAGTGAATTGGGCTGTGAAACTAAAGAGGCATGGTATCTACACCAAAACGGCTTCATTGAGATAAAGTTGTTGACTATCGTGTCCCTTTAAGTGCTAAAATAAATCTGAGTACTTTAATATTAATTAAAACCAATGAATAAGATACTGATAAAACTATAATAACCCAATGCTTATCTGTTTTAAAAGATTAAAGGGACACTTTCCTGCCCTAATACATTTTTTAAAATCGCTGTTTAGTATGCAAACCCCAAATGAAAACATTTATGTGTAATTATGCATTTTCGTCATATGAGGTATAACTATAAACAGATTTCAGAAGCTACAGAACTCTTGTCTGAATATTTTGCAAGCATTTCCCTTCTAACCCAGCTCAGATGTTCTGTGACTGTCCAATCACAGATTTCCAATGCAACTCAATGAGAAGTCTTTGCAAGGCAGGTGTCCCGGGCAAATGCTTGCCTCTTGAGTTTAGCTCCACTGAGCTAACCAAACCAGGAAGTAAAATGACCTGAGTCCTACTTGAAGGTCAGGGGGGTGTATCAAGGTTAATTTTTAAAAGTGACAATTTCGATTGCAATCTGCACTTTTTGTAAAATGAAAAAAAAGGGAACAAACTCTAAACACATGCGGAATTTCAGCAAGATAATGTGGATTATCCCTTTAACCTTCATCCCTTCACATATATGATTGGGGGGCAGGAGTGTGCTGTGGGACTGGAGAGGGGAAGTCCGCAGAGTACCCATTATACATATTAATCCTCACCTTGCTTTGCATGGTGAAAAAATATTAAATATTTTTCAAAATATTAATTTGAAAAGCTTATATAAAAATATTAAGTCAAGGCCAAAGACTATTATTCAAATCAAGCAAATCAGAACAGTGTGAAAGAGACAAATGCATAAGTCATTTACAGTGTAAATTGTACAATTTTTTGAACTTCAGATATGTCCTAATATATATATATGTATTAAGGCAATTTGCCTGCATTTGTGGGAGGTGCTGGTTTGCTACCCCTAGCCTACTTAAGGCACTCCCCTTACCTTGCTCCTTACCGTTCGAGGTCAGCGTTGAATGAGGATCCACTTCCGGGTTCTCTCAGATGCCATCTTGGTTTCAGTATCCACGAGGTTTCACCACGTTAAGCTGTGTCCAGGAATCCTGTTCAGGCCTTTCCGCCCGTCCAGCTTCTTCTGACTCCGGTCTCCGTCATAGATTGCGTCCCAGGGACTCCTAAACCGCAAGTCAGACCTTCCTGTCACGCCAGGACCGGTTCCCACGGCGTACGGTACAGCACGGGTCCTCGTTTTACGGCTTTTTCCCTGGTTATGACACGAATGTTTCAAGCCATTCGTGGGCTTTTTCATTCGTACGGTCATTCGGCTGAACATATTTAATCGTTCAATAGTCATTTCGCATATCCTATTTCATGTTATTGAAACGAATTATCATTCGGTTGTTTTGCCGTTCGGCAAATTTTTACTTACGCTCAAACACGCTTTCGGTTCGCAAAAGTCATACGGTTAAACTATTCTAACTTCTGTGTTTCCCTCACATTTGCTTTCGGCTTTTCTGTGTGTTCACGTATAATCCTTTTATGAATTATATTCACCATTTCATGTGTATATAACGTTCGGTTAAAGAATTGCTTGCTTAAATAGATTATTTTGATTACTTTTAAAATATTGTCAGTATTGTATTACGTCCACAAATCAAGTCCACTTCTCTGTATATACCATTTGACTCCCACGCTTTCAGGGGTCTGCGTTACTTATCCATTTATACAAATGGACTCAGCCTATGTTACAGGCCTCACTTCTGGGTTATTACTACAACACATACAAAGAATATAGGTTCATTTAAGCATAATTCTCGGGTTGATACGTCTTTTCTATACAATATATCATATAGATATACATCACTTTACATCATTTTAAATCATTTTGGGGTATCCCTGCCTTTGGTTATTCTGCTACATATCATACATAACGCTGTGTTAAATAGGCCAGGACCTCATCCATGTCCCTTTCTATAAAACCAGTTACATTTCTGTACAGATCATTGAAACTCCCACGCCAGGAGTTTTATAACTATCCATTTCATTTCAATTCACTCAGCCTATATTACAGGCCTCATTTCTCTGTCATGACGATGACACATAAGGCTTAATTCCTTTTTCATGCATACTCGGGTTGAATCACACGTACTGATCCAACCAATCATACGTTCCCTGCACAGTCATATACATATGTATATAACCTACGTTTCATGTTTTCCTTTACACACCATTATCACGTAACACATAGATTGTTGGTACATAGGCCACGGCCTCCCTCAGATGTCTTATTCAAGCATGCTAACATTTCTGAGCCACTCATAGCTATTCCCATGGTATCAACATAATTTTAATACATCGCTGCTACGGACTATAAGTCTGTTTCTTTTCACACTCCACATTCATCATACTACTCTCTTTTACCCATTTTTAGGCTGTCAAGCTTATATAATTGCTCCACACGGTTTATTCCTGTGATTTGTCATACTACCAGGTACGTACACCTGCTCATATGGTATTCTACCATACATTTCATTTCATCCCCCTAGTTTAGAGTACTGGCAATAGGGTCACAGGATTCCCAATAGGTATTTACCCCGTCTTGGCTGTCGCCATTAGTTAGTGGTCCCGCGAGGCCAACACCCCGCCTCAAACGTTTCGGAGGCAAACACCCATCGGGCCACACGTTAGCTAGCCGCCTCGCATGTTGCAAAGAGAGGGCCTCACCTGTCACTCCCTTCCCCTGTTTTCTGTCGTACAGTCACCGAGAGGCCTAAAACTCCTGCCACTACGTCAAGTGGCCTCAATAACCCCTCGCGCCAACGCATAGATAGAGCCTCTCAAGCCGCTTGGCAATTAGCAGGGCCTCATCTGTCACCAAACAAGTATAATACTTTCGCCATCCGGCCTAGCTAGCCTGCCAGTACAATTTGGTGGTTCTATATACTAATTATTGTTTTATTTATAGTATGTCTCAGGAAGGGGTAGAGGATTTCTCCCTGCCTAGCACCCCGGCTAGAGCTGTCACTCCCACACAAGGAGGAGAGCTAGCTAGTCCAGCATCAATCAGATCCTGGACAATCCCGCGCATAACCACGGAATTAAGGAGACGACAAATCCCCTACCCCGCTACAGCAAGGAAGGCAGAACTTTTCAAACTGCTACGCACATCAACTAATAACATGGAGGCCGGGGAAGGATCTAGCCAGTCCAACCCAGGGGACATACATGCCATGTTATCCTCACTCATGGCATCCATGGGCAAGGTCAACTCCAGGCTGGAGAAACTTGAGTCGGTCACCACGGCCCTCACTCTAGCAGGGCCACCCGCGGCTGCGGTACAAACACCAGCCTTGCCATTAGTCTCTCCAGCCAGCACCCTGGATAACCAGGAAGTTAGCCCGGCCCACATGATACCTGAGCATATCAAAAGGGATATCCTGGAAGGTAAAGACGTCAACCTGGCTTCCCTGTTGATTGCCTCCCAGGACATTGTGGAACATAAGACGTATGCTTATGATGATGTTTCTGTTATTGTCAGATCTAGGGATGCCCGCCTGAACAGGAAACTGACTATCCCTGAATTTGTACTAGCGTTTGGTATTTACAGGGATGTCATCTGTGCGGTTTATCCCAACAGAAGAGAGGAGTTTGATCTCTATATGCACAAGCTGGTAGACCTGGGCAACAAATATGGTGGTTCGGCATTCTATGACTACCATAGGTCTTTTTCTGCAAAAGTGGCTGGAGCCTTCTCCCAGTACGGACACGATCCAACTGGGGAAGGATTGATACCGTCTTATTTTGCAGACACTTTGCAGGTCTAAGAACACCAGCTTGTGCATACTGCTCCTCCACAGCCCATACTACTAATTTTTGTCCCAACACGGCAGACGGACATGCCTCCACACAAGGAACTAGTTCCTCTGGGGATCCAGGGAAACTATCGAAAGACAAATTGGGACGCCCAATCAAGTTTCTGGGCAAGTCCCAAATATGTAATAATTTCAATGTTGGGTCTTGTAATTACAGTGGATGTAGACTATTGCATGTCTGTTCAAAATGTTTTAGGGCACATGCAAAGACCATGTGTCCAAATAAAATGTATTCCAAGCCTTACCTTACCTCCATTAATATGCCAGTATTCACAACATTGATGTCTCAGCACCCATCTAGACACCTGGTAGACTTTCTTATTTCTGGTTTAACAGAAGGCTTCCACACAGGTATCCTACACATACCAGCTGGAACTCTGGAATGCCCTAACCTACAATCCGCCAAACACAACCCCACAGTGGTTGACACCCTCATAGCCCAAGAAGTGGATGAGGGCTTTGTATTGGGGCCTTTTAGAACTCCTCCATTCACAGAATGGCGCACCAACCCTATTGGTATTGTCACAGGGAAATCTTCCCAAAAACAGAGACTCATCATTGACTTATCGGCTCCCCACTCATCGGCCAACCCCAGTCTTAATTCCCTCATACCCTCTGAGGAATTCTCTCTGCAATACACCACCATAGATCACGCCATTACAGCTATCATACAAGCAGGGGTTGGAGCCTGGCTCAGTAAGACCGACATTACTAACGCCTTCAAATTACTCCCTATCCACCCCACACTGTGGCACCTGCATGGCATCAAGTGGTCCGGGAACTACTATTTTTTCTCCCGGTTAACTTTTGGGTCCAAAAGTAGCCCAGCTATTTTCGACACATTTGCTGAAGCATTATGCTTGTTACTATTGAACATAGCCGGATGCTCTACGGTATTACATTACTTGGACGATTTCCTACTGGTCGAGGAGAATACTTCACCTCCCAAGAGCCTCAAAGCTACCACTAAGCTGTTTGAGCAACTAGGTGTACTCATCTCCCCAAAGAAAACAGAAGGGCCAGACACGGTTATCACTTTTTTGGGTATCCAATTAGACTCTGCCACAATGCAAGCAAGCCTACCATGCGATAAGATAGAGAATATTCTCACTTACATAAACAACTACCTACAGCTCGGCACTTGCAACCGCAAAGAGCTACAGTCCCTGCTAGGGTCACTAAATTTTGTGATGCGCATCATACCTCAAGGCCGCTCCTTTATTTCACGACTATTGCATCTTTTCCCACTTTTTCTACATGACACGCACAGGTTGTCCTTAGATGCCCAAGCTACGGCAGATCTATACATGTGGAAGAGATTTTTAACCACTTGGAATGGTAAAAGTATGTTCCTCCCTCAATTGACTGAATCATCTCCTACCATTTGGTCAGATGCGGCATCTACCATTGGTTTTGCAGCAATTTTTGGGAACGAATGGCTTTGGGGCAGCTGGCCTTCAGCAGTTCAGGATTTGGAAGGTTTTTCCACTACCTCAGCTCTTTTTGAGATCTACCCCATAGTGGCGGCTGCCGTAGCATGGGGTCATTTATGGGCTAATACGCCAGTGCGTTGTTATTCAGACAACCAGGCAACCTGTCACATCAACAAAGGTCGTTCCAAATCTCTTAAGATCATGAGATTTCTGAGGAAACTCACTTGGTTGGCAGCTTGTCATAATTTCTTCCTATGTTGTTTCCATGTGCCAGGTGTATATAACACAGCTGCTGACAATTTGTCTCGCTTTAAATTTCAGGAGTTTCATCAAGCACTCCCGTCAGCAGCACCCACAGCCACCATCACTCCAACATTTCAACAACTCATACTGGACTAGACGTCATCATGCAGCATAGCAGGACATTGTCCCAGTTGGCACTTTCAAACAATACAAACAAAACATACAGCAGGGCTTTCACACTATTCAAACGATTCCTTCTGGAACATAACATCATACAACCGTTTGTTATGACATCTTTTTTGGGGTTTGCTTCCTTTTGCCACCTTAAACTCAAAATGTCATACAACACCATCAAACTCTATCTCACTGGCATTCAACACCACATGCTCATCTTACACCCAATAACAACAGTTTCATGGCCTCTCACCAAATTAAGACCATACTCAGAGGTATTAAAAAATCAGAACCCACACATTTGGCCCAGAGGCTACCCATAGATAACCATATCTTCAAAGCATTATCTAACCTACTTGACCTAAAACCGTTTGACACTAATACGAATTCTATCATCAAAACAGCAATATACATCGCTTTCTATGGATTTCTACGACCCAGAGAATTCACTACGACCTCCACGACCCAAACCACTCCATTCCTCCTCTATTCCCACTTGACAAAACATATGGATCATTACATCCTGTCTTTACCTCACTCCAAAACCAGCCAGCACATACCTGTAAACATTCCGTACTATCCCACGCACAACAGATGGTGTCCCGTCAAGGTTCTTGATGCCTACATACAGCACCATCACTTACTGCCCTCGCAACCGTTATTACAACTACAAGGTGCAGTACTCACCACTACAACCTTCATGACCTACGTCAGGTCCTTGCTCACACAACTGGGCCTCAACGCAAACAAATACTCAGGACACTCCTTTCGTATAGGAGCCGCGTCCACAGCCTCCAGTGTCAACATCCCAACTCATGTTATCAAAACACTGGGGCGCTGGAAGTCATCCGCTTACTCACGGTACATACCGAACCCAGTACAAGAATTAAGGGATGCTTTCATAAACATGTCTGGTTGATAAATGTATATGTATTGGTTGTCTGTTAATAAATTTGATTACTTAATTTTTGCCCTCTTCTTTCTCAGGCCTACCTCATCGTCGGTTTCGGCACACCACAACCGACTTGCTCCTTTTATCATCCTACGCTTATTCATGGTATTTCATACTGTACTATCTTAAGCACCTAACACAAGTATTAAGGCAATTTGCCTGCATTTGTGGGAGGTGCTGGTTTGCTACCCCTAGCCTACTTAAGGCACTCCCCTTACCTTGCTCCTTACCGTTCGAGGTCAGCGTTGAATGACCCTCCCACCACACCACTTTTAACATTTATTTCCTTTCTATTTCTTTTCCTGGGTGGGCCCTCTTCTTTCTCAGGCCTACCTCATCGTCGGTTTCGGCACACCACAACCGACTTGCTCCTTTTATCATCCTACGCTTATTCATGGTATTTCATACTGTACTATCTTAAGCACCTAACACAAATATATATATATATATATATATATATATATATATACACATATATATATATTATGGAAGGATCTATCTAACCCTTGGACTGAATCTGATTTAGAAGTCACTCACTTAATAGCACATTTTTAAGAACTGGAAACTTTGCATTTTCAAATTAGGTAAAAAAATGAAATGTAAAAAAAAAAGTGAATTAGAGGTATTTTTAAGAAATTATTAATTGTATAAATATTGCATATTTGGCTTTCAATTATTCAAAACTCAATGATCAACAGAACATATTATAATGCTCAAATTCTTGCCATAAATATTGTTTTACTGTAAAAAAATATTTAAATTACTAAAATGTTTGAAAATTTTATAAATAATTGTTAACTATTTTGAGGAAAAAGCTGCTGTGTCTATTGAATGTCTGTCTATATGTTATATCATACAAGGACTATATTTTTTTTCCACTGTTGAAAATTAAAGTGTAATACATTTTTATAAAATATGACTATCAATAACTGATTCAAAAAACACATAATCATTTTACATATGAATATTATATGCAAGAATAACTGACAATATGTGTGTGCTGGAGAGATAATAAATTATTTGTGAGTGAGCTTGTGTGAGTGCAATCCACATAGAAAATAATCAAATTATTTTGGCACCTTTCAAAAGGCTTTCACAAGCTTTTGTGAATATTAAAATTAATAAATTATACATTATTTGCATGCAAAAGTGCTTCATGCATGGAAATCCTTTGTTATTGTATAAAGAATTGTAATTTTATGATTGTTACAGCAAAGTTGTATTCCTAAGAATAAAATGGATTCACAAATCCTCAAATTCTATAAAACATTTCATATTTTCATGTTAATTATAGTTTATAACTCTCTCCATTGTACTAATGTACAAAATTGTGAGGGTAACTATTATATTATACATACTTTATTTATAATACATATATTATTTTCAATTAAGATGCAAACTGTTTTTTTAGTAACTTTTTCCTCTGTAGGAAATATGATATTATATTATATGGTAAACTGATATAAACATACAAAAACACAAATGCACTTTCCAGTCTTGAAAAGTACTGTACTAGGCTGTTTAACCCCTTAAGGACACATGACATGTGTGATGTCATGATTCCCTTTTATTCCAGAAGTTTGGTCCTTAAGGGGTTAAACCAGAGGCATTCTTCAACCCTAGTTATACTATTATAAAATTAGAATTGTTTCCCATTCGCTTTGCTCGGAGTGACTATATATGTTTGTTGCATTCAGTGTCAGAGGCACACTTGTAATGTGTTTTCTACCATAGCTTTGTATGTTAAGCCAGTACTGTAGATATTATATTTTAGTTTTTTCTGTTGCTATGTAACTCTGAACGTTATGTATTTTAACTTCGAAAATTGGGTTTAATATGCGCAACATAACAACTTGAAAAACGAAATAAAAGTAATTTTGATAAAAATAAGGCTTTGAAATATGAAGAAGTCGTTTTTATCCATACTATAAAAGGCATCCCATGCTATTTTGTTATTCTTTAGGGGTTAAATGAAAGACTACTAAACCATTTACTATCACTTTTAAGACATCCAAATACTTTTAGAATGTTTCATAGACACATCTTATTGACAAGCTTGACTTAAATTGTCAATGCATCAGCCGCCTTAATATGCACATTAATTACTCTATCATTTTATCTCATTGCCACATGCATCTTGAGCCTTCACAACGGTGTGAGACGGAAAGCTGAGCCTTTCAATCATGCTACGAGTAAGAAAGATGGATGGACTGAATGACAGGGTTTGCACCAGACTTGGATAATGAATATATGAAATGTCAAGACTGTATGAAAGATGTGCTTACATTTAAAATCAGACAGTCTTCTCCTTACATACAAACCCGGGAAAGAGAAAGTGGTTGGAAAAAAAAATG